TCCTTTGGGAGCCACATCCCTCGAGCCACCGCCAGTGTAGCTGAAGGGTCTGTAATCACAGAATTCCCTGAGTGCAGGACTGACTTGTCAGCCCTGGTGAAGGAAGGAGTCCAAGGAGCCCCAGTCTCAGCCAGAACAAAGGCCCTAACTTCATCTTCAGGTTCGGCCTCTCCAGCCTTTTTCCCTCTGCTTTTAGAAGGGACCTTGCCCTTGCCAGAGGATGGGGGGTTGAGGCGAGATTTCTTCATTGGTGGTTCTTCAGCCTCCACCTCATCCTCAGTAGATCTAATAACGACCAAGGGTTGGGCATCTTCGGCTTTCTTTTTTAAAGCCTCAGCCCTCCGTATCTTCTCCTCAGTCATGGGGAAACTGTCAAAGGATGGTAGAGACAGATCCATGAGGTCTGCAGCAACAGCACTGGAGGCAATATCCTTGAGGTTTGAAGAAGTTAGCAGGTCCTCGATAGGTGAGGAGTCACTCCAGACTCGTTCCTCAAGAAAAGAAAGTCTGTTCCTTGCTGCGGAGGAGGGGAATGTAGCTGAAAAAACACCAAGAAACTCATAAGTACGGCGAAACACTAAGACTTGGCAAGGAAAACAGCCAGAACACTTGGTATGAAGGGAGGTTAAGTATTCTATACCTAATTTCCCGAACTTGCGCGGGATGGGAAACGTAATTGATTGGGGTACGAATCATTTTCCTTTAACTATAACCATCATTTCTTTCCACTTCTTTTCGGATGAAGGAAGGTTCGTGCATATCCTCTGATGAAGGGGAGAGGTAAAAAAGAAGCGACCAGGCTCGGTCCCATGCTTAGATATATTGTAAGTAAGCAGAAGGTCGGCAAGGGTCAAATCCAGAGCCTCTAATTTTCGGCGCACCAATAGTGCCGAAAGGATGCGAAAGAAATTAGGATTTACCTGAAGGGGGCAAGACCTAACTTGTTGAAAACTAAATGATAGAAGGGATGAAGAGGGAATCGGAGGGCGTTAAGATGCCCTACCGAAAGAAACAATTCACTCTCTTCAATTCTTTCGCCGGAGGTAAAATCGGCACCCTCGGGATATTCTGCAATTTCTACTCCCTCAAGAATATCAAATTCTTCCATTACCGAAGCAATAGAGAACTTGATGCGGCGAATAGAGATGATTGCTTTCCTCTCTTCATGAGTAAGAACATAATCAGAGCCTGAGGTGGATGTCTCGGCTGGAAGGGGGGAGGTACCTAATTGATTCAACGAAAGACGATCTGTAGAAACCCTAGAAGGGGGAGCCCTAATGCGAACGGGGGAAGATGAAGGTATGGATTCAGAATCCCCAATGTCTATGCGTTCGGGAGTAGATGAAGTACTCATAATGAAAGATTGAAGAGAAAGATGCGAAAAAAACTAACCTGACAAAGCGATGGAATGAAGAACGCAGAAGTGCAGTAAGGGTGAATGTAACTCTTGCAAAATCTTGTATGACGAAGTAATAATGAAAGACCTCGAACCGTTTCTGAAGCAAAGTAAAAAACCGGTTTCAATTCCCTCTTTAATAGGAGCCGTCACTCAATTAAAAATGAAATTTGGGGCAAAGTGTGGAGGGAAAAAAACTCCCTCCAATAAAAAGCGCACACGTCATCACTACACATATCTACATTCCAAGGACATATAAGGCCCATCATGCTCAAGCCCAGATTGAGGGTACTTATAGCCCAAGACCATTGTTATTTGTCCTCTAATCTCCATCAAGGCCGAATCAAGAGGTTATCAGCCCAACTTGTTAATATTTAACATCCGGTCCGTTACTCAAGCCCAGCCGGATCAAAATATGTTCAGCCCAGTTATTCAAGAATGCACAAGTCCTACCAATTGAAGGATTTACCGTAGAAGGAAAATTCTGAGATAGGAAGTTCTGTACAAGGCAAGTTCTATGTATGAAAAATTAGACAATGGAAAGAACTCTATTAGTAAAGAATGTTTATATAGAAAGAATTAGAGGGCAAGCAACGCGAGTCCTACCATAATTTTACAATCTTTTGTATATAAATAGAGGCTTAGACCTCCAATAAAGGGATCAAGCAATTCTACGCTTCAAGATATATTGTTCTTGTTTATTTTACTATTGATTGAGTGAGTTGTTTTATTTTTCTTAATCATTATTGGTTGAACGAAATTTTGCACCTACAGTAGTATTACTCTATAAAATATAATTTTTATATAATATATTATATAGGTTTTGAAATAAATTTTAAAAGGTGTCTTTCTAAAAAAGACTTTACTAGAATGTTTATGCTTGTTTGAGGAAATACATAACAATTCTGGAAGGTGACTTTTTACTTATAAATGTTAAAGTTGAAGCAATGCTCAAAATATAGAAACGCCAAGATTTCTTCTCCTCTTTTCTTTCAGATTTTGCTATGAAGTGATGGTGCAATGTTTATCTACAACTTTAAAGACGGTGGCTTAGTGTTACTCAACTTGTTTTTTGATGACTACAAGTTTTCAGTGCTTTCTTTATTTTCCCCTATCAGCATACTATCCAAATTAACAATTTCATGAGTGATTCACTTAAATTCATATAGTGAATAATCACTCAAAAAATTTTAATTTTAAATAGTCATGCATGGAAGATAGGCAAAAATATTCATTATTGGAATTGCGAAATAATCTAAATGTAATCTCATAAACATCCCATCTTCACATAAGGCACATATAAAAAATTAACAACTAAGACTCCATTTGTTTCGACGTAAACTATTTTTTTTAGAAAATGTTTTTATTTTTCCGTAAACTAATTTTTTTGAAAAATATTTTTTTTTTCAGTAAAATATTTTTTTATTTTTACTTTGTCGGTATTTGGCTAATGTTTACGTCGTTAACTTGTCGAAAATTGATAAATAAATTATTTTTGTTAAATTTTAATATATTTTTTTCTTCGTAAATTTACGACAACCAAACACTAAAAAATTTATGTCCTTACAAATGGAGCCTTTTAAATACAATTATGATAAAGATTAAATTAAAAGATTAATTTAGATTGAATTACTAAGATTGTAATACAATTATGGTGGGCAGGTGTGACATGAAAATTATAGTCGCGGTGAGGGCTCAGACTTGACCTTCATCTCATAAGATCAAAACCCTAACCAGGCGTAGGTTATGCATGCTAAGCCATCACCACTCCTAGCATCTGAGCTACATGCTTTTTCTTTTAAAACTGAAATCTATACATAAGGCCAGATGATCTATATTTGAATCATATTCAATAAATAAATAAAATGGCTAGACAGCATGAGACTCCGCAATACGAATTTCGAAAGGGACATATGTACGCAATTTTAATCTCGTATGCGGAAAGGATGTTTTCGTGATTCAAACTCGCGACGCTCAAGTAATAATAGAATAACCTTACCATTGTACCAAGACTTACTCTCATTAACAATAAAATAACCTTACCGTTGTACTAAGGCTTACCCTCATTTATACGGGTATTAAATATTGGCATCGAAAGATGGTATCTTGTGTGTCCGATATTCCTCTGAACCAAAAATTGAAGGCAAGAAGAAGTAGTGGTAGTTACGTGTAATGAATTGAGATGAGAGATTAGTAGGGATCAAAGTCCATGTGGGTCAGCATAAACACAAATACAAGTGTGACAGATATCAAACCTCATAAATTCCCTTATTAATATAATTTACATCAATGAAGGTCTCTCCTGTAAAATTATCAAAAATACCATATCCTACTAAGTACCATTAACATCTAAAGTAGATCAAACTACACAAATTTGTCGTACTATTTATCTTCTAGTCTTGGCTCTCTCAGCAAGTACAGTACCAACTATTAAATGGGAAAGTTCACATGGTCAGGTACGTGCCAAACTTGGAGACACCAACTTCTCAAATATAGGTCTCGTTTGGAATCCTTTATATCTTTTCCTTGACCTAGGGTTTGCTTCCCAAACGTGTAACCAAAGTTCGAAAAGTGGGTCAAAATTCTGAAATCCAAGCCTTTTGTTTTTTTACCTCTTTCTCTGTGAACATTAACTCCCTTTTGCATTAATCATGCACGGCCAAACTTTGCAAATTCCACACAGGAACTAAAACGGCAATACCACTCAAAGGAAGAAAAAATACAATCGGGGAGGAGAACATCTAACAATCACGGGCCAAATGCTCCACTTATATCAAGCATTCGGTTTCAAGAGCCTCCCTACTCAACAAATGAGCTACATAATTACTCAACAAATGAGCTACATAATTTCTTCTACGAGGAACCAAACAAGGGAAGAACCGAGACAGTCCTTGAGGAGAATAGAGATACTTCATTGACATTGTTCATTCACTTTTTCTGAAACTACGTGTTTACCGTGTCAGTGTTTTTATGTTCACAAAATTTATTAAATTTGATTGAAAGAGCTGTGAGGGATATTTTACAGCCAAAACAAGACCAATTAGTTTCTTTGGTTCATGACAATGATGTCCCTGTAGATTGTAACGCATGACCCCTCTTAGAAAATCAAGTTAGTGAAGACCACAACACACAAGTTTAAATAGATGTCTCTCTAAATGAAAGTACACATAACACAAGAAACAATCACGTTATAAAAGCATAATTTATTATAAGGTCAATGCTAAAACCTCTCCTAAATTTATTTCCCTCTGTCTCAACTTAATTCTCTCCCCAAAAATGCTTCCTCTTCTTTCAAATTTCTCTGTAGAATGATTACGACGAGTATCACACCAGTTTTCCCGGCAAGAAACTCACACACCCCCTTTGGAAGACGAGGAAGTAACACTAGTTCAGCACCTAATCATTTACCAAGCGAGGCCTAGAAGGTATTGCAAAAGGACAGGTCAGTCTCTAAGGGTCAGCTGATGCTAGTGACAGAAGTTGGGTGTCAAAAGTTTCATATCTGGTGTGGTGCAAAATTGATAGTTACAGATTATATTGAAGATGTCAGCAAAGTGGTGAAAATTTGGTGTCAAAAAGACTAGAACCCATAAAGGATAGGAAGTAAGAAACTCACTTTTCCCTAATTGTTATGTTCTGTAAAACTAAGAAGACGATGATGAAGTATATTCAAATACATTACAAGTTAAGTTCGGCCAACAAAATTACTGCTCGCGGTTTTTCTACTAGTGCCATTGCTCGGAATTCCATAGGCTAGTCAACTCTATACATTTTAAATTGGCATTTGTTGGTCATTCTCAATCTTGCAGAAGAAGAGAGCAAAAGACAAGTCTGTAAGGAACCTGCACAAGGTCCATACCCTCAAAGAATGATGTCTTCATCGAGATGTCTGCACCAATTTATTGATATCACATCCTTGGAGCTACACACAAACAAAGAAGAGCAGAAGTTTCAGCACTTGCAGAAACTTAATAATAATAAACCTGAACATGCAAAGTCAGTTACAAATTAAGGGAAGTTCGCAGCAACTTTGCCCTCAAGGATTTGAAGCAAACAAGGTAAAAATCAGTGTCATTATTAGTTTTTGGAAGTTTTGACTCAAAATATACCAATTCATTTAGAAATGAAGCATTACATTATGTGCTTCAGCTGACATTATAGAACAGGTTGACAAGGAAATAAAAAGTAATTACTATAACTAGGTCCCATAAAAGCAATTTTCCCTACGAAAATCATTCTAAATTGTAAATTAAATGTGGGCCATTCCAGGACCCAAGCAAATTCATATCCAGAAGAAGTAAATAATTTACCTTAAGAAAGGTAAGAAACAAGATTACTCCTGAGTTCCAGACGGCATGTATGGTGATTGGAGTCAGAAGGTTGCGAGTTTGAGCATATGAAAATCCCAAAGCAGAACCTAAATGCATATATAATACAGTTAATTACTTCGAAATAGGTGGGTCATTTTGACAGTATTTGGAAAGAAACAAATCATGGTGCTGCTGAGACTTGGCCTTCTATTTTCAAACCATGTTAAAGACTGTTAAAACTTAAATATTGTCAATTAAAACGCTTCCTCGATTTCCAAAAAAATGCTAGCATAATCAAATTTAGGAACATGAATTGATGATTGAACACGTGGAGTTCAAAATTTTCATATGCACTTCAGCCCAGAAAATTTTGCCCCTTCTCCCCAGTTGATCACTCCACTAAATCTATAAGTCTTAATCCCAACTACTTGGATTACACTAAATAGATCTACCATCTCCAGCTCAGTTTTTGTAAATCTATATAATTACAGAATCAGTTTCCCTATACCTCTCGCGTTCTCACCAGGCAATGAAATGTGAAAATTACACCTTTCAAGTTTCTGCACATTTTCTTTTGTAGTCCATCAGTACATTAGTGACTATGGATACTATGAGCTTTTGCACTTCTTTTCTCTCTTTTTTTGGTGTTTCTACATTTTTTAATGATTAATTAACTGCTTAAATTTAGGTTAAATGTTATACAATGTAGAAACAATACCTAACACAAACTGCAGGGGAAACAATTCAGGAGTGCGATGAGCACCTGCAAATACTGCACCACTAATAAGGACAGAAACTGGCGTAGGCAACCTGTAGAAAGAATTGGGTAGAGCGTGAGAGCATATAAAGAATCAATAAACTGTGATGTGTGAATCTGAGCTCATATGCATATGTGGGGGTATGTATTTTTGAACGCAACCGCAGGAAAAACTAAATTTTGCAGTACTAAGTCTTACCCATGCTCTCTAGGATAACTGTCTGAGCCCTTTTCATTGCTCTACTTTATCTAGGTTCTAGCATCCAGTCATAGGAAACATGTCTTTTCTTAGAAGTGAATCACTTTCTTTTTGGCCTCTCACTTGTCTTTCACTCTATATAAATCCAAAAACTGGCACTACGGATTGGTGCAAGTTGCAACCAATAGCCTTTGCTGCTTTAAGGTATAAAGAAATGTAATGATTCAAGGAATAAGGAATGGGACTGGAGGCGCCCAAAGGTCACAAGACGACAATAAGAAAGGCCGTTTAACATATATAAAATTAATATATGGTCCATCCCCCTAGATGCAGGATAGTGCTAGGAGGTGTTGCACACCAAAGGAGTGAATCGTAGTTGCATACGGATAAAGCACGTTCCATTCACTTCCTCCCCTAAACATCAACGGGTACCTATAATAATAAAACCTAAAGAATGAAAGGTTTTCTCCGCGGTGTAACTCTATTACTGTGACATACCCACTTATTTCATCAAGATTGCTATTAGATTGCATAGGGTGATGTCACACCCCATTTGGCTCTCCGATAATATAGTCAATGGACTCGCAGATCGAAATACTCCGTCCCATGCCATAATCTGAATGCAGTATAGTTGTGATTGACTTTAATCATCACAAGTATGAATTACCTTTGGATAGTGTAGTCATGATGTATGTGTGGTACAATGCGACCAAAGTAATTTGGGTTTTCTGAATTAAGTTACTGTCAAATTGTTGTGCACACAATCTTATGACCACAGTGATCATGGTGCAACCCCTGTGCTATCATGCCATAATTTCAAGCTTGCCAGGGCATGTTGGCTTAGATTAGGGCAAGCCTAGGTGAGGCAAGGTAATGGGCGACTGTCATGCGCAGTACCTCTAGACAAATGGCATTTTTATTGATTTTGACGATTGCATCTTGAACTGAAGTGGGCAGTCACTGCACAGTGCACACACAAAGCCTATCTGCATCTCAGCCAGAAGGACAAAGGAAGGAACATGGAGGCACCCAATGTGCCCCAAGACATTCCAGTAGTGTGCACTGCTTCAAGGACAACACTTGTGGACAGTCATGATCGCTGTCTCTATCATTTCTTTTCATTCTAAACTAGTCTTCTGCCATTACACCCTTCCCATATCCCCCTATTGCTGCAAAGGTCTAGAATCACTTTTCTTCTCTTCCTGATCACCTACAAACCCCAGTCTTGCAGCTGCACAGTAATAAATCATCTCAATCAACTTTTTCTCATATTGTGATGAATGTCAACTTTAACTTTCCCATAATCAATTCATTTCTAGTTTAAATCTTTCCTGTTTTAACTATTTGTCCCAGTTATAACCCTTTCAGTTGTTCTCTTTTTCATGAGAAGTTTGTTTCTGAACTGCACAACATAATATATGACCAAGCAAAGTTGGTCTTATAGTTTACCAAAAAAATTCTCAGCAATTCATAGATATAACCCCTATTAAATTTCCCCCAAAATGAACCATAGAATCAAGCACTTAAACATGGAAGCATTTTCAGCACATGTAACCAATATAAAAATCAAAAGAATGAGCAAAATCAGTAGCCAGAATGAAAGAGCACGAAATCTGAAATATGCTCATAGAGGGAGCACCTCTAGAGCACGAGTCCTCGTGTATATAATACATACAACATACATTGTCAGCATTATAGCGTGTTTGCTAGATACAACTTAATCTACAATAATGCAACATGAAAAGAAATTTTCATATTCAGAAATCAGAAATGATACCATACCATGTGGTTAGAGACACCATAAAAAACCCTCGAAAGAAAGTCTCCTCGAGAAGCGGAGCAAGGACGCCTGTGATTCCGAGCAGGCAGGCAGTGCTACATGAAAATAAGGATGATTAATTTTCCTGTTTAATCCTCAAGATCTAACTATGGCAAGATAAGTATTTCAAGTGGGCAATTTAAGAAACACAGCCTTTTGTTGAAGTACCATAGACTTGATGATCCAATCAATGGAAGCAAGAGAACAAGAGCATCATTCTGAAACCAATTTACATATTCTAGTTAGGATCCTTCAAGCAGTAGAAAGCACAAAAGCTGCATAAATTTAGAATCAAAGGTACACATTGACAATCAAGTCGTGTCCTTTAAATTAGTCAAAGTAAAAACTCTCTTCAATTAACAAACAAAAAGAAAAAGACCCTACAAAAAATGTATGATACTTCAACTAGATAATGAAGCAAAGTCAAGATCATTATTCACCAGGCCTTCCATTGTGTGAGTGTTATATATAATATGGAGATAGAGAGAGAGAGAGAGAGAGAGAGAGAGAAAGAGAGCCTATTCATTAGATAATTATGGCATCACTCTCATATATGGGCTCAAAGAGAAAATCCATGTACAGTTGCTTATATTACTGTTGAACAAGAATGCAGCGACGATCACTTATAAATAACTAGCCCCATTACCACAACCAGATAAGTCATATGAATATGTTCTCTGCACCTAAAGGGGAAAAAAAGGAGTTTATGTGTGGAAGTTCTTGATATTATTAATCAATTTCTGACCTCTCTTCGCGGTTTATCACCACTAAAAAAGTACAGGGAAACTCCTGTTAATCCTACAGCAAGTAGAGCTCCAACAAGTCCAATTGCTGCCCACAAGAGCCATCCTTTCTGTAGACTGAAAGGATCCCTCAAACCTGAAACAATTCTATTAAGTGGTAAATCGATAAATTGTGGTTCTGGGTCCAAACGTAGATAACTAACAGTGAACAAAGCAACTGCAAAGAATACAACCAAGAACAAAAACTTTTGCAGCTTTATAATAATAGAAATACGTTAAACAATTGTTTCTTTCCAAGAACTACAGTACTACATGTAAAAGGCAATCATGCATGCCTATCCTTATAGAATATGCAAGGTTTCACATGACATAAGTATATAACTAGTTATAGTTAAAGTAGAAGTTGGTTTATAAATCCAGGATAAAGTAATGAACATGTCAAACATGGTTATTACCATAGCGAAACAAGTCACCAGGAAGTGGTCGAAACATATTGGTAACAGTATACACCACTCCAAGTACAACTGCAGTCCCAATGCTGCAAAATAATAACACAAATGAAGTTATACCCACTTATTGTTTCAAAACAGAGTGTAAAATTAACTAAGAAAAAATAAATATGTTGGTTATCTATTAACCTCTAATGGAATTTTCAATGGATATGCAATACCTCTGATTGTCATAGAACTTTTTTCAAATGGATATGAAATCGAGGATGCCAATCCTCTTATGGAATTTTCCAAGGGATATGCAATTTTTCTCATTGGACCATCTCTGCAGCCTGAAGAAGCCCGAAGAGGGGAAAAAAAGAAAAATAAAAAATAAAAAAAGAGAGGAAGAAGCAGGTTGGAGACACAGAGAGATTGACGCTGCACCAAAAGGGCACAACAGTAGGATCCATAAAACTAATGCAGAATGGTAGAAAGTGCATGATAAATCTTCAGATAAAAGTAAAAATGAAGGTTTTATGTCAACTACGGGGTTAAATATATAGCAGATTCCATACGTATTTTTGCTGCTCGCAGATCACCTAACATTTTATCAAAAAGCAACACCAAATTTGAGAATGGCTGAGCATTGTTAGGGAATTGAAATTTTATACTAGCCAAACACAGAAGCGAAGGTAAACTGGTGAGAATTTGAACAACGGAAATTTCAATCTTTGAGTACAATGAATAATTAAATAAGTAATAAATAAATAAAAGTGCATACCACTCTATATACCAAATGATGACCTAACAATGAAAAGCAGCTCTAAATCTGGCTTGCCAAATTCTATAATTTCCCAAATGACACTTATAAAAAAATAATAATAATAATTTAAACTTATCAAAAAAAAATGACACCTATAAGTCAAAACAATATCAAATTTTAAAACAGAAGAGCAAGGATAGTAGTCTGTACGCCTGACGCACGAAAATTATTTCAGCTTTCTCATCCAAGCTTAGTTCTCCAAATTCAAGTCCGAGATAGGGTATAGCTTTTGTCTCTATAATCCCTGTCAAAACAAAACTGCCAGGATAATAATTAGAGTCTCCAACTGATTGATGCTTAAACATTATCATGAAAACACAATTACTAGTAGATGAACAGAAATAAAACTAATTTATCTCCACGAGAGAGAGAAGAAGAAGAAGGGAAGAAGTTTTAGACCTCAAATTACATAAATAGAAACAATATTGATCAATATCGAGATTAGATTAAAAAAAAAAAAATGCCTAATGTTAGATTATATGATGCAAAGATTCTTAAAAAACACAAACTTATCAATGATACATTACAGAGTGAAAAGAAAATAGTCCTCATATGTAACAGCATTCCACATGTGAGTGCTCACAAGCGAATCCACATGGTGCTTGGATACGCTTAGTTGACATTCAAAATCAAAGGAAGGTTGCCAAGTATAGGAAAGACACCTTAATCCACAAGCAAGTGAGGTCAGGGCAAATGTTTGCCACTTCCAAGGCACATCCCACCTTTTCAGAATTGGCCAGTCCAATCCACTTTCCTAAAAAAATCATTGAGCAAATAAATCAACAAAAATTTCAATATTCACATAACTTCTAATAATGTTCAAGCCTTAACATAAGTAAGACCCTAGCTTGAATTTTGTTGACAAGTTCACGCAGAAATAGTGATTGTCATATTAACCAAGCAGTGATTCTCATATTAACCAAGCTACTTGAGCTTAATCAAAATAACTTGATTACAGACTTGTGCAAGATTGTTCCGGGGATCAATATTACAGCTCATTGTTTTTCTTTTCTTCTTCTAGCTGAAGTAGAACAAAACAAGTCCTCACAAGCCGGGCAGGGTCACTTATTTGCAACTTTCTATATTAATTCTGTATATAAATTCCATCAGAACTGTAATATTTTTCTTTAACTCTTCAAAGTGATTGCCATTTAAGTTATACTATGACACCATCTAGTTCTCTTCTTAACAAAATGTCAATGTCAAGCCTTCTTTTGGGCACAAAGAAAATGTGGGTAAAAGTAAAACCATGTCCTTGCATTTTATTCAGTGTTAGACCTAATGAAACTATCAAACAACATAACACAAATATATATATATGTTGAAAAGGAAAGATTCGGTAGTAATACTACAAAATATTATTAGCTGTAAATATAATATTTGGAGGATATTTGCTGTAAATAGAATATTGGTCAAATATTGTAAATTAGGAAATTATTAATTAGGCTAGCTAGTGATGTGCGTGTATTCTCTCTTATAAAGAGAACCCATGTAAACTTATGAATTGTGTGCTAATACAGAGAAAAAGTTTATTCTATATTTCGTCCTTTCAAGTTTATATGGTATCAAAGCCACCCTAAGGGGAAAAAAAAAAAAAAAAAAAAAAAAAAAAAAAAAAAAAAAAAAAAAAAAAAAAAAAAACCCTTAATCTTCTTTTCTGCACAATTTCTTCGCTGATCAACCATGTCTGACGTTTCCTCCATGTCAACCTCGCCTATCACAACCCAGTCAACCAATCCGACAACCCAAGTCCCCAGTATTGATTCTCACTCGGTTCAGATCACCAATATTCGCCTTCATGGTGATAATTATTTACGGTGGTCCCAGTTTGTTTGGATGTACATCAGAGGGCGAGGAAAGATCGGGTACCTGATGGGAGACAAGAAGGCACCAGCATCAGAGGACCCAACCTACGTGACCTGGGATGCAGAAAATTCAATGGTGATGACTTGGCTTGTGAACTCCATGGACGAGGATATTAGCTCCAACTATATGTGCTACTCCACGGCCAAGGAGCTCTGGGACAATGTGAATCAAATGTACTCTAATTTGGGAAATCAGTCTCAGATCTACGAATTGACTCTAAAACTTGGTGAGATTCGGCAGGGAGAAGACTCGATCACCAAGTATTTCAATTCATTGAAGCGTTTTTGGCAAGACGTGGATCTGTTCAATGATTATGAATGGAAATCCACTGAAGATGTCAATCACTAGAAACGGACCGTGGAGGCTCATCGCATTTACAAATTCCTTGTTGGGCTCAATGTGGAATTTGATGAAGTACGAGCACAGATCATTGGCAGGACTCCACTTCCTCCAATTGGTGAAGTGTTTGCTGAGGTTCGAAGAGAAGAGAGCCGCAGACATGTAATGCTGGGGAAGAAGACTACCAGCGGACCTGTTGAGAGTTCCGCCCTTATTGTTGCAGAGACTGCTGCTAATAAAGTAGTCAATTTTCAGTGAAAAACTGAAGAGAAGCCACGAGTCTGGTGCGACTTCTGCAACAAACCGCGCTATACTCGGGAGAACTGTTGGAAAATCCACGGAAAACCAGCGAATTGGAAGAGTAGCAAGCCTGGTGACAAAAATAGGCGTGTGGTTCCTACTGCTAATGAAGCTGAGACAAGTCCTTTAAGCAAGGAGCAGATGGATCACCTTCTGAAGCTACTAAAATTTATCCTCATCTGGTATTTCTAGTGTTTCTCTTGCACAAACAAGTAGTGCACTTAATGCCCTTTCTTGTTGTTTAAATTATACTCCATGGATCATCAATTCTGGAGCCTCTGATCATATAACCAGCCTTTCCAAACTTTTTAGCACTTACTCACCATGTTCTGGCCTTGAAAAAATTAGAATTGCAGATGGTAATTTCTCACCTATTGCAGGAAAAGGTTTGATAAAATTATCCGAGAATATAGATCTTAAATCTGTTCTCCATATCCCTAAACTAGCCTGTAACCTTTTGTCTGTGAGTAAACTAACCAAAGAATCTAATTGTCGTGTAATTTTCTGTGATTCTTACTGTGAATTTCAAGATCGGAGCTCGGGGAAGAAGATTGGCAGTGCTAAGATAATAGATGGACTTTACTACTTTGATGGGGACTTCTTCAGTAATAAAAAGGCTCAGGGCCTTAGTAGTGTTAGTTCTAACTCTGTTTACGAACAAATAATGTGTTGGCATTTAAGACTAGGACATCCTAACTTTCTATATCTTAAACATTTGTTTCCTGCTTTATTTAAAGGTTTAGATTGTTCATCGTTCTACTGTGAGAGTTGTTACTTATCTAAGAGTCATCGTACTACTTATTTGCCAAAACCTTATACTTCTTCAAAACCACTTTATTTAATGCATAGCAACGTTTAGGGACCTTCAAGAGTCACTACTATCTCTAGGAAAATTGGTTTGTTACTTTTACAGATAATCATACCCGTTTATGTTGGGTTTATTTGATGAATGAAAAGTCTAAGGTTGAAAAGATTTTTAAGAATTTTTACACAATGGTTGAAACTCAGTTTCAAGCAAAAATTAGCATTTTTCACACCGATAATGGAACCAAGTATTTTAATGAAATTTTGGGGAGTTTTTTGAAAGAAAAGGGTGATACATCATCAGTCTACATGTGTGGATACCCCTCAACAAAACAGCATTACCGAAAGAAAAAATAAACATTTACTTGAAGTGGCTCGTGCTATAATGTTTTCAATGAATGTTCCAAAATATCTTTGGGGGGAAGCTATTTTAACAGCTTCGTATTTAATTAATAAAATGCCTTCACGTGTTTTAAAATATATCACGCCATTAGAATGTTTCAAAAGAATTTTTCCATTATCAAGGATATACTCGGATTTACCTCTAAAAGTTTTTGGTTGCATAGCTTTTGTTCATATACCCAATAATACTCGGTCCAAACTTGATACTCAAGCTGAAAAATGTGTTTTCATAGGGTATACTTCTAATCAAAAGGTATATAAGTACTATAATCTCCAAACAAGAAAATTTTATGTAAGTATGGATGTCTCTTTCTTTAAAAATAAATCATACTTTCCCAAAAATTCTCTTTAGGGAGAGAATGAGGTGATGGAAGAAAATTTTTGGGATTTATGTCCAACTCCTTTACCAAATGTGATTTTGACTCCTTCACATCATCATACTGTTATTCCCGAAATTTAAAGTCAGGAATAATGTGATAAAACCAATGAAAACAATAAAGGAAATCCTAGTCATATAGTGCCAAACATTATTGTATCTGAAACAGGGGAAGAATCACTACAACTGGGCACTAAAGTTCCCAATACTGAGCCTCTGGTTTATACTCGGAGAATACCTCATCAAAAGAGTCAAAGTCAGCCTATTCCTCTTGGAAATGATCAATCTAAACCTCCGGGAACTGGACCTCCAAATATCACAGGTAATTCTGTTCCTAACTCATCTTCAGTTCCTATTGTTTCTCCTAACCAAGAACAATCAGACCTTGATATTCCTATAGCTGTTAGGAAAGGTATTCGAATCAAATATCCAAATCCAAAATATCCCATTGCCAAATACCTTTCTTATGAAAAACTCTCTCATACTCATAGGGCTTTTACATCAAAAATCTCACACCTGTTTGTCCTGAGAAACATTCAGAAAGCTCTTGATGATCCGAATTGGAAGTTGGCAGTGATGGAAGAGATGAATGCTCTTAAAAGAAGTGGTACTTGGGAGATAGTTGATTTACCTAAGAAGAAAAGAACAGAAGGTGCAAGTGGGTCTTTACTATGAAATGCAAAGCTGATGGTAGCATAGAGAGGTGCAAGGCAAGACTAGTAGCAAAAAGGTTCACCCAAACCTATGGAATTGATTATCAAGAAACTTTTGCCCCTGTAGCCAAGATAAACTCAATCAGAATTTTGTTATCTTTGGCTGTGAATTTCAGCTGGCCATTACACCAGTTAGATGTAAAAAATGCATTTTTAAATGGAGATCTTGAGGAGGAGGTCTTTATGAATCTACCACCTGGGTTTGAGGGAAAATTGGAACCTAATAAAGTCTGTAGACTGAAAAAATCTTTATATGGTCTCAAACAGTCCCCTAGAGCTTGGTTTGAGAGATTTGGGAGAGCTGTGAAGAATTGTGGCTACTGTCAAAGCCAAGCTGATCATACCATGTTCTACAAACACAGTAGAGAAAGCAAGGTTGCAGTGTTAATTGTCTATGTGGATGATATAGTCTTGACAGGTAATGACAATGAAGAATTGGAGAGACTGAAAAAGAGACTTGCAGCTGACTTTGAGATCAAGGATTTGGGTGCATTAAAATACTTTCTAGGAATGGAGTTTACTAGATCCAAAGAAGGTATATTTGTGAATCAACGTAAATATGTTCTTGATTTACTTAGTGAGACAGGTCTGCTAGGATGTAAACCAGCCGAGACACCCATCGAGCCCAACCTTAAGCTGCAGCCTTCTAAAGATGAAGAAGTTATGAATAAAGAGCAGTATCAAAGACTTGTTAGAAGACTGATCTACTTGTCGCATACACGTCCAGATATAGCTTTTGCAGTCAGCATGGTCAGCCAGTTCATGCATTCACCTGGACGAGAACACTTTGATGCAGTCTACAGAATTCTCAAATACCTAAAAGGGACCCCTGGAAGATGTCTACTGTTAAAAAACCGTGGGCATTTGCAAGTTGAAGCCTATACTGATGCGGATTGGGCTGGGAGTGCTATTGATAGACGGTCAACTTCTGGCTACTGCACTTTTGTTGGAGGTAACCTTGTCACCTGGCGGAGTAAAAAACAGAACGTAGTAGCAAGAAGCAGCGCAGAGGCCAAGTTTAGATCAGTTGTTCATGGAATTTGTGAGGTGTTATGGATTAAGAGACTATTGGATGAATTAAAGGTCTCTAATCCATTGCCTATGAAATTGTATTGTGACAATAAAGCTGCTATTTCGTTCGCTCACAATCCTTCATGACAGAACAAAGCACGTGGAGGTAGACAAACACTTCATCAAGGAAAAGCTCGAAAAAGGATTGATTTGTATGCCGTACATTCCTACTACCGAGCAAGTTGCAGATGTGCTTACAAAGGGACTTCCTACAGGACAGTTCGACGGACTAATTGGCAAGCTAGCTATGGAGGATATCTTCAAACCAGCTTGAGGGGGAGTGTTGAAAAGGAAAGATTCGGTAGTAATACTACCAAATATTATTAGCTGTAAATATAATATTTGGACGATATTTGCTGTAAATAGAATATTGATCAAATATTGTAAATTAAGAAATTATTAATTAGGCCAGCTAGTTATGTGCGTGTATTCTCTCTTATAAAGAGAACCGTGTAAACTTATGAATGGTGTGCTAATACACAGAAAAAGTTTAATCTGTATTTCTTCCTTTCAAGTTTATAATATATATATATATATATATATATATATATATATATATATATCAGATACAAATTTTCATTTCTTTTATTTTCTCATCTTTGCTCGTTTTCTCATAAGCCAAACAGGGAGCAGGTCAAAACTATTTCTCATCAAAAGCACAAAATCAGAACAGTTACAATCCAACCCATTTTGGGGGTTTAAGTTATAGTCTTACCTTTCGTTGAAATTTAGCTCTAGATTCTTCATAGGTACTGTAAAAGCAAACTGAACGAAGCATTCTTGTTGAATCTGGGCTTGCATTTGCTCTGCAAAACCCTAGGGATCGTCGAGAGAAATTCGTGTCTCTTTTGAGAAGAAGAGTTTGAGTTCCATGAGTTAGTATTTTGGATGAATTTAGCTTCCATGAGAGAGAGAGAGAAGAGAGAGAAGATCGAGTAAATATCGTTAAAGCCATTGCATAATAGCCTGAATTGGAAACACTATGAGAGCAACTCTACCTCCAAGCTGGAGAGAGAAAATCAGAGAAGCATTGGGAGAGAGGTGGCAGAGAAAGGTGAAAGAGGTCCGAGTACTAGCAGAAGAAAAGGCAAAATTCGAGAAAATGATAAAAATACAAAAACCACCCCCTTGGTTCTGTGATTTAACTTTTAGGCTACTTGAATTTTCATTTAATGCTGTTTTCACCGCATACATTATGAAATTAACACCAAACTCCCAAAGTGTGTTATTTCCAATTGTAGGACATGGATTGATTAGATTAAACATAAAACTAAAACTAGTCCAATTCTAAAGAATTGATAAATTTTGAAACGAATCCGCGGTTGATAAATTTTGAAACGAATCTGCGGAGCATTAGGCTATTTCAATCCAATTCGTGAAACATTGAATTAATATATTGATATTAATTCATTCAATAGAGATAATTTTAATTTTAACTGTTAAAAGAAGTAATTTATTCAATAGTTACTTTTTCTTTTTTGGTCTAATCAAAATAGATAATTTATTTAACAAAGTTAATTTTTTTTAAATATTTTATTTTAAATAGAAAATTTATTTTTATTATTATTATTTTTTTGCAATTTTTTGTGGGTCCGATCAAAAGAAAAAAATTATTCTATATATATATATATATATATATATATATATATTGGTCTTCTTGGTCTTGTCATAAGAGATACTTTATTCAACAGAGAGAAATTTTTTTGGAAGGCGACTCCACTTTTCAATGTTTGTACTATAATTTTAAATGAAACGGTAATTTTAACTCTAACTTTACAAATAAATAATTATTACTTTTTAAATGATAAAATTATCATTTTAGATTTCTCTCCTTATCTCTCATCTTTATTATTTTAGATCTCTTTAGATAATATAAAAAAATTATTGAATATTTTTTTTTATTAGACCAAAAAATAAAAATTTATGTTGAATAAATTGCATCTTTTGACCGGACCAAAAAAATAAAAGTTACCACTAAAAAAAATTATCTCTTTTGACATGGCCTAGCGATACAAGGCTCCTACTTCTCAAAGAGAGGTCAGGAGTTCGAATCTCAATGGAGGCAGTGTGTGTGAGTCCCAACTAGGAGGAAAAAAAAAAACATATTTATTGAAGAAAATATCTTTTGTGAAAATCCCCAAAAGAAAAGAAAAGAAAAAAAAGTACGAAAAGAAGAGGATTATATATATATATATATATTGAATAAATTATTTCTTTTGATAAGAACCAAAAAAAGAAAAGAAAAGTTTATTTTTATCTAATAATTATTTCTTTTGACAGGACTTATAAAAAATTATTGAAAAAAAAAAAAAGTTACCTCTTTTGACTAAAAAAAAGTTAACTTTGTTGAATAAATATCCCTTTAAATTGTACCCAAAAAAGTCATTATGTAATAAATTAAATTGTACCCAAAAAAGTCATTATGTAATAAATTATCTCTTTTGATAGTCAAAAATAAATTATTAGTATGGAATAAATTATTTTATTTGAGAAGACTTCTGAAAAAAACAAATAGAAAGGAAAAATAAATAGTAAATAAAATAAATAAGGTAAAAAAAAAAAAAGTTAAAGCTGTATAAATGATAGTTATGACATTATAAATTAAAGGATAGTTCATTAATGAATTCAATGACCTTTTAGTCCTTTTCTTTAAAAGAAAAAAATAAATATGGTGCAATTAGAGAAAAATAGAGTGTCAATATCGTCTCCCTTTTTTAATGGGTACTATTTTTTTTTTCTCAATCAAAAGAGGCAATTTAATAAACAGATGTAACTTTTTTTTGTTGGATCTTATAAATTTTTTTTATTCGAGTGAGATAACTTTTTTTTGTTTTTTTTGGTCTTATCAGAAGACACCTAAAATAATAAAGATTAGAGATAGAAAGATGAAATTTGAACCCCAGAGACATTTAAAAAATAATTATTATTTATCATTCTTTAAAATTGAAGTACAAACATAAAAAAATAAATAAATTTTAAAAAAAAAAAATGAAAGTCTTCCTCCCTGTATGTAAAGTGAAATGTAGGAACACTTTTACATTTTTGCATTTTTTAATGCACGAACACTTTTACATTTTGCATTTTGCATTTTTTAATACATTAAATTAGAATTTAAGTGTGAAACTCTTACTCATTAAAATCAGTTGAAGAACTGCAAAAAAAAAATATAATAATAATAATAATAATAATACATCCTCCGTCCCATATTAGTTATCCTAATAAAAAACTTTGACTCATAAATTTTGTGAGTCAAAGTTATCGAAATAGACATCTAATATGAAATCTAAGTAGTATATAAGTATAAAAAATGAATATGACTAAAAATGATGTCAACTGACTCAAAAATAAAATGTGGTATTGAGTCAAAATTTTTTGAAATGGACAATTATTATGGAACGGAGAGAGTAAGTTGAAAGTTGAAGAATTATTTTTATTTGTCTATCGGTCTAATTTTCGACAAGTCCTTAACCTCATTTTTAGTGTAGTAATATCATTTTCCAAATACAAATGATTAATAGATATTTGTTATTAAATATATATATATATATATATATGATATATAGTTTCAGGACTATTTGTAAAATCCACTTCTTGCCTTCTTGATTAGTTGGGATATTCCTGCACTCCGGAAACGATGTCGTGTAAGGCAGTTTACGAAATAGGAGGGTATATTTTATGGTTTAAGAAGGAGATCCAAATTTGCGACAAGATTCTCTATGAAGAACACAAGAACAGGACAACAACCGGTGAGTCCCTTCCAACAATTTTGAATATATGAGGTGCGTTGTTGTATCAACTTCACCAACCCAGAATCTGCATTTGCTTCAAAACTACTCATTATCTTCGTCGTCATCGTCAACACTCAAATCCATCTCTGCCACTTCAAATCAACACCCATTCACAGTCGATTACCTCATCAAATCATGTGGGTTCCCTCCAGAAAAGGCTCTCTCGGCCTCCAAGTGCATGAACTTCGAAACCCCAGAAAAACCAGACTCTGTTCTCGCATTGGTACTCTTGTCCGATCCCGAAGAAACCCGAAGATATTGCCAAAATACTGACTGCAGCACTTCAAGAAGTTGCTCAAGTCTGAAGATAAAACAATTGCAACTAGTAAACGCTTTGCTGGGCTCTTGTTGCTTGATGTTCACATATGTGCTTCCATTGTTGAACCTCTGAGAGAAATAGGTGTGCCCGAATCAAATATTGTGTTTCTTTTGAATTCTGGACCTAGATATATAAGGACTACTGCTGATAGGTTTAAGGAGATTGTGGAGGAAGTAAAGAAAATGGGTTTTAACCCTGAGAGATTGAGTTTGCTTCTGCAATTTGGACAATGAGGGCAATGAGTAAATCAACTTGGGAAAAGAAGGTGGAGGTTTATAAGAAGTGGGGTTCTTGGGTAGTGGGTGAATATGCTTTTGTTTGAAGTACAACATTGCAATCAATTCACATTTATTGATCTCTGAGCAATTTTGAGAGACTCTGTTTTAGTTCTGGCAATCAAAACTTGAAGCTCAACAATGTGGTGCATTGAATTCTCGGGTACTTTTGTAGTGGTTTAGGCTTGGTTTGACATACCATTATCTGTTTATCTGGGAGATCAATCTAGGTCATCTTGGCTTTGTTTGACATACAATTTTGGAACTAGTTCAAGTTGGGTAAATTAATGAATTTGATTTTCAGTTGTAATGATGCGAATATCTAACTCAGTTTTGTATTCTTTTATCCAGCAAATGTTATCATCCTCTTTTGTTTAGAGCATAAATAAATGAGATTATATAACACTGTTCTCTTTGTGCAACCTTGACATCGTTGGTTCAATTCATGATTCAGTCCATCTACCATCTTCCTCATTCAAGAGTGTCCAGGATCAATTCAGGTTTACATTCTTTTCTTTTGCTCGGTGATGTTTGGTTGATAGTACAAATACTATAGGTATATCTTTTCAGTCTCGAGTCTTGGAGTTCTCGTTCGCCTTAGCAGGACATTAGGTATATGTTTAACATGGCAACAGGGCACATATAGAAAATTTCAGAGCTTTTCAAATATATTTTTTCTGCTGAAAATTTTCATCATCCATAGAGATAGTACAGTGCATAATATAAGCAACCACTACTGCAAGAAAAATCTCAAATGAATTATGTCATTAACTTGTAATTGTTAGCATCCCTACTAAGACTTGATTTAAAGAAATAGATCATTTCTGCTTACAAAATAGCAAGATTCAATGTTCACAAAGAAGAGATTGCATTAGCTTAATCATATAAAGATTGTAATACAATTACTCTGGGCAGGTGTAACATGAAATTTATGTTTATGGTCCCAGCGAGGGCTCAGATCATCAATATTTGAGGGCATATTCAATATTGGCATTAAAAGATGATCAGGCTTGGTATCTTTAGTGGCCAATATTCCTCTGAACCAAACATTGAAGGCAAGAACATGTACAGGTAGTTCTGTGTAATGAATTGAGATGAGAGATATTAGTAGGCATCAAGAACATGTGGGTCAGAAAACCAAGCATAAACACAAATACAAGTGTGACAGATTCCTAACCTCATAAATTCCCTTATTCATAGAATTTACATCCATTAAAGTCCCTCCTATAAAATTCTCAAACATACCATATCCTACTAAGTATTAACTTCTAAAATAGATTAAACTACAAAATAATGTTGTATTATCTTTCCAATGCTCAAAAGATCAACTCAAACATTAGGTTTTTGAACGTCCGTATTCAATGGTAGGAGATAAGAGACAGCAGACTTCTGTATATACATGTATATGTAACTGTATGGCATCATTATTTGATAATCATCTGAAAATCAGTGTGACAGAGACCTAATCCTTCCAAAGGTTATATTTTTTATGGAACATCTACTAGACTATTTAGATTTCAGAATCTTGTCAATGCCTGTGACATGGTTTGTTGCATCATGCTTGGATTGTGAATCTATGTGAGCTATGTGCATAGATAAATCAGTATCTGATAATCAGAAAAAAAAGATATTATAATGTCTACAGAAACACAAAAAGAAAAAATAAGGAAATTACTGTCAATATTATACTAGCTGTCACAAGATAATTCTGTAAGGCTTTTAGGTTATAACACATCATCTCTAGTAAACAAAATATTGACTAACTGTCAATTAAGCCACAAGCATAATAAGTGTATGGCCTACCTTCTTACCAACTTGCATAGTCCTCAAGTCTACTTATAGAAATAGGGTTGTCTCACAGCTTCTTAATTCACACTCTTCTTCTATCTATTTCTATCCTACACTAGCTGATATCAACCTCCTTCTGCATCAAAGCTCCTTCACCTCATAACTTTTCTTCTGAAGCATTTCCAATACCTAAAGCTTCTTGAAATCATATCCTCCTTTTTCAATTTTTTTTTTTTTTTTTTGGGTACTATTTCATTATTAACCTCTCCTTTTTCCATTTCTTCTTTCATTTGGTTCTGTATCTTCTAGTTTTAGTTCTCTCTCTTTTTTGTAGTTTTGTGTTCTTATCTGAAATTTCAAGTCACTACAAACAATTCTTCAGTAGGGTCACTTTCTTTTCTCCTTTTTGTTTGAACAACTAAAAGGAACTTTCTCTAAATGCAAGTCTCCATGGCCATGGTTACATTGTCATTACCCTGCAACACCAATCTCTCACAAACCTTATCCCTTGAAGACAACAATCTCCGCGATGCCTCTTTTCCTTCTGACTTGAATGGTTCCGAGGGAACCTTGGTCCTCAAACTTGCCAAATCAAGTCAAAACCTTGATTCTTTGATGCAAAAAGAGAATGTTGAAGATGCAGAAATCGGTGTCTTTGAAGCAGAAAAATACTTCAATGGGGCAATGGATGAGAAGAATCCAAGAATTGATGACATGGGTGCAACAAGACACCGGTATGAGAAGGATGAACCAGCTGAGATATGCCCCATTAAAACAAAAACTCAACTGGGAACTCCAAGTGTTCATTCTGGATCAAATTGGAGCCAAAGCGCGTTATTGCATTTTGTCCAGAGAAATTCACCACAAAGAAAGACAAGCAAGCTATATGGCAAGAGTTTGCTTGCCAGTATTGGTTCCAGCTGCTCTTGTTGTGACAAAAACTCTGTTGATATCTATGAACATGTTGGTGGAGACAGTTCCAATGGAAGTGTTCCAGTTGATTTAGCCAGAACCAATAAGTCCCGGTTGGATCCATGGGTCATGGAGGACATGCACTGCAAGAATTTTGATGAATTTGCGGTGAGCAGAAAAGACTGTTATGATTTTAGATTTCCGGTTTTGAATCCTAAGAAGGGAAATCGAGCAGTTAAAATACAGTCGCAAGAAGAGAAAGATGATAAACCGCGAAAGTCATTAGAGGTGTTTGGCTCCCCTATCTTGAAAAAAGGAAAGAACACTCCAAGTCATGGCAGGATGTTGACTTGGGATGCAATTCCCAAAGTGGAAGAAACTGAAACTTCAGCAATTTATGATGGTATGCACAGTATTACTGGAAGTGATTCAAGTTCAGATTTATTCGAGCTAGACAGCTTCACAAATAATGCCAACACGTTTCGCACCAGCCAGGCATCAGATGGCATTTCCAGCTGTGTCACCCCCACAACTTGTTATGATCCAAGTGAAGCAAGCATAGACTGGAGCGTTGTCACTGCCACCGCAACAGATGTCTCAGTGATGTCCAATTCTTGGGAGTTAAGAGCAATAGCAGCCGCAACAAACCCTAACAGAATGGTTCTAACCGGCAAAGGTGCTGCACCAAGCAGGCAGATACAGAGGCCGCACCACAGCCTGTTGGGTTGTAGAAATGACAAAGCTGTGACAGTTGCAGGATATGCCTATAGAACAAGTGAAAAGGCAATTCCTGATCCAAGAAGGCGCCACGGGACAACAGACTCCTTTGCGCCATGACAAGGTTTCAAGCTGAGACCTCTCTAGGCAATTCCTGATCCAATAATACTGCATTCAAGCTTGCTTTTGTAATTTGTATCCATGTATCATTTTCAACACCAGTATTAGCAATAATTTTGCAGAAGAAAATTAGTCATTACCGTAAACAATCTATACTGTGTTTTATTTTCCTTCTATAGATGTTCAGAGAGTTACAAATTAAGCTTTTGGTTGTCATGTAGTTTTTGAGGGGCATTGCTTGGTGAAATGTGGTAAAACCTCCCCAAATTCTGAATTAAGGAGAACCATACTGCTTAATGAATTTGGGATTCAGCGTTCTCGTGTAGTTTGTTTAATTAGACATGCAAAAGAACAGCCATTTCTTAAAATTTCTCAACACTTGCATTCATGTTCTCTTTACAATGCAATGCTCTGCCATTAAAACTCATAAGTTTTACAGAAGGTGCTCAAGACCCCATGGAGGGGTTCAGAAAGAAAATAGTGCTCCTAATGATTGGTCAAATGTATATCCCCATATGTACTTTTAAATGATTAACCAAAATTAGCAAACACAGCTTTCTCTAGTCTTAATAATGAGAATTTTTCAAAGAATGTTGTATGCAGTGACAAAATCCCCCGTTATATATATATATATATAGAGAGAGAGAGAGAGAGAGAGAGAACTGTAGACTGCTTCAATCAATTATACAACTACTTTGTAAATAACTGGGCCCATAATCTCATATCATCTATTTTTTGTCACAATAAATAGTGTTGAAAATATAGCAAAAACGTCAATATCAGATTCAAGCCTTTTCTAGAAAATAATTATTTGTAAAAATCTATATCCCCTTTTCATAACCTCGTCACTTTAATTTTCACAGAGAGGAGAATTTTATAATGATAATAAGAAAGAATCAACACCCCTCCCAACTCATGTTGGCAAGCATGAGGGTAAGGTTTGAGTACGGGAGGAGAGTAGTCACTTTCTAGAAAATAATGCCAAATGATAAAGTTTGAGTACGAGAGAAAAGTAGTCACTTTCTACAAAATAATGCCGAATGATAAGGTTTGAGTACGAGAGGAGGGTAGTCACTTTCTACAAAATAATGCCAAATGATAAGATTTGAATACGAGAGGAGAGTAGTCACTTTCTACAAAATAATGCCGAATATTAGATTTATCTCTAGCCTTCTTCTCCCAGCACCCATTCGAGAAAATTAGGTACCAAATATTTAATAACCAAGAGACATTCTTATCTTCCTAGCACTGCTTTGATGTGCCAAATCAGTGGATTAATTATATGAAATGATCCAGTCAAGAAATGACACCGAAAAGCAGACTTATCTGAACCATAAATTCAATAAATGTATACGTTCTAAACAATTCGAGAGGAATCCAAAGTGATAGGTGGAAGAAATTCAAAGCAAATTGAACTGGCAGATTACGACGGTAGAGTTAGCGGGAAGAATCAGAGAGGCCAATGTAATAATGTGAGTTAGGTATCTGTATCTGCAATGCAAGCCTGGGATAAGAATTGTATCATTGTCATGGACCACTTGATAGTGATGATTGATATAGTTAATGATTGTATGTAGGTTTCAAAATTCAAACTATAGAAGTTGATGACAGAAAAATGGCTTGTCTTCATGAAAGAAAGGGTCCAGGTAATTAAAAACCCTATCATTTCCTAGGCTGAAACATGATTAGGGGAACAACTAAAGAGAGGGCATGTTGGTCACTGGGAAAATGAGTGGCATGAGAAAAAAGAAGAGCTTTCAAACGGTTAAAGTTGATGAGAGAAAAAGGGCATTCTTGAACAATATTAATAGTAGTAATAATGGGGTGGATCACAGATTCAAACTGTTGAAAGTTGATGAGAGAAACCTAATGTAACTTTGTAGGTAGTGGGTTTGTAGCACAGTTAAATAAAAATAGTAATAATGGGGTTGTATCACAGATTCCCAATACAAGTTGAGAGACTCGAAGAGCGATCCAGGTATGAGAAGGAGAAGTAGACCAACCAGAGGAGTTAATGGTGAAAGTAGGAATGTTTGTACCAATAGCAAAGAATAAATGGGCTAAGGTGGTTGTGATTCTTGGTTGCTTCCGTTCTGCCTTTAATGCTCCACCATACTTGTATTTATAGTTTTAGGTTACTTGATTAATACCCAGAGGTTTGACTCCCTAAGTGGTCACCTCGTATTAATTTGGATAATACAAGCACTAAATTCATTGAGTTTATTGATAGCGGTGGTAATTGAGCATTAATGGTTCATCTGTATCATTAATTGTGATGGTAAGGGTTTCTACTTTACCACTCCCTTGGTTGACTTTCCGAGGTATGTACTAACTTCTCATCCACCATTCCAAAAATCCTTCTAAATGTCCTAATGGATGGATGGCTTGTTTGGTGTCTCATATCTATGTCCGTTGGACATCATTAGCTCTGGGTACTTGTGAGGGACTCAAAGTTCATTCCTCGAGTATTGCTTTACAGCTTTCTAGTTTCTTTTGAAATTTGTTAAGCTTGCTAGTTTCTTTTGAGATTTGTTAAGCTCGAACCTCGAGGATGCCTCCTCGAGATTTATCCAACCTGAAGGGAGTGCAGCCAGGGCTTGCATCTCAGGGTTTTTCTAGGTGCTTTTTGAGCCCTACTTGACCTGAAGATGTCTTAGGGTTTTTTGTGACTCAAGGGCTGCCGCTCAAGGTTTATCTAACTCAATAATGTCTCAGAGTTTGCGGGACTCGACAATTAATATTCGAAGTTTATTTGACTTGAGAGTGTCTTCAAGATTTTCAAGAATCGAGAGTCAGTGCTCGAGGTTTAAATAGCAAGGGTTTTTCGGAACTTTGAGGACTGCTCCTCGAATTTTGTTGGCCCTTGTACGCATCTTCTGAAGCACACTTTGATTCAAGTACCCCAGGCAACATTGCTGACTTTTTCAAAAACAACTTCTATCCACATAAAATATTGTCAAGTACCTTTGAACCTAAAGATCAGAAGGCCTCTCAACAGCAATTCCCATATTGATAACCTTAGTTATGAGAGAACAAAGATTAAAATTAAAAAAAAAAAAAAAAAAAAACACATCCCACTATCCTTTCTTTTATTTTCTATACTTTCCAAATCCCTCCAACTCATATCCATATCCAAACAGATCCTAAGTTCTAACAAAATGATAGAAACAAAACAAAAAAAAATTAAAAAATTTGAGTATAAAACTGGGCCACGAAATGGTACGTGCCTAAAGTTCTTTAATGCCCTACATACAACGCCAAATAATATCAAAAAGGTTAGTTCTACATCAAGTCTGTCCATAGCAGTCTCACAGCACCTCATACTTGATAAACAGAGAAAAACAATTGAAATAGCAATTTGTGACTCTTTATATGGACAAAAGCAAATGGATAATACAACAATATATAAATGCACAGCTTCTAACCAGTGGCATTGGGTACAAAAAAGAGAATATATGGGAGAAAGAAGCAAACTAGAACTAGTGATACATACTCATTACAAACAATGAATCTCTCTTCTATGATCAATCATCCTTGTTCTCTTTCGTAGGTCGTGCTTCGAAGCCCCCATCGATTCTCTTCTCAATTGAATAAGGCATGTAAGTACCAAGAATTTTATCCCACATAACGAAGAAAGGCTGTGAGAAATTGTATTTCGTCCCATACAGCTGGTGGTGAATATCGTGATAGGCAGAATTGTTCCTAAAGAATACATGAAAGAGATTCCCAGGAAGCCACAGCCCACAATGGTCATCTACTGTTTTGATGGTCGCAAATGAAAAGAAGAATATTGAGGCTCGAGGAGACATGCCTGAGAGGAGGAAAGACAGCGCACCCCCAATTGTGTCAAGGAGAAGCCCTTCTATGGGATGGTTGTATAGAGCTCCAAAAGCATACGGGACAACAAGCCGGTGATGTTGAGAATGGATATGCCGGTAGAGGAACTTGTTATGGTGCATGTATCTATGCATGAAATATTGCCACGTATCTAAAATCACCATTGCAGTAAAGAACTGTCTTGCGAGAACAATGAAGGAATGCTGTTCATCTAGGGAAGCTTCAACATCATTTCCCGTAACCTAAACAGGTAACAAGAAACCATAATCAACTTTGATGAGCATAGCACAAAAAAATAACCCAACAAAAACCATGAATGCTACGGAAGAACAGCTGATTTGCTCAATGTACATGAGTACATCAATATAGACCGAAAGGGGGAAAAAACTGTAGTACTACATACTACTATTAGACAGCACTGTGTCATTGAACATGCCATAAGAAGCCTACCTACACCACTTTCACAGTCCCTAACACAACATATAACCCAGGTAGGTGCCTTCGTATCCCACCCACCATGATTACTGCCCATTGTTTTGTATAAAAAAAATAGTATCCCTTCAATAAAAAGACACTGAACATAGGAAACCATAATGTTTATGCAATGCTATAAATTCCCAGTTCATTTTGGCCAGAATGTCCTTCTCATCAACAAAATGGTATATTATGCCTTCTACTCCATTCCGTCATATATTTCTTGCTGTTTCATCCATTTCACGCAAAGAGTCAAATTCCATCAGTGCCTTCCACGCGTATAAAAACCTTTCTATTTTAAAACCACAATAAGGCTTTTTAAGTAAACCATGCAAAAATATTAGGCTATTTTAGGCAAAGTGCAAAGTTTTATGACCACTCCCTATTCGATGATGATTCTCTTCAAATTCCCTCTTCATCTGCCTCTCTGTTCCTCTCATTATCCTGAACCCTAGCTGAGGCATCAAACTCTATATATGTATACTATTCAACCAAAAAGAAAAAGCATATAGATGGGAAATATATGAATCATTTTCAAAAAGCCTATCAAGACCTTGATTGATGGGAAATTAGTTCTTTATTTCAACTCAATAAATAAATAAACTCTAAATCAATCTTCTTTTACTTTGTCTATTTTTATTTGTTTTGATAGGAATTTTTTATACATTGGGAATATTTAAAACAAAATAGAAACAGCCTTTGTAAAGTTAATCAAAGACGGAAAGATGTGGTGGAACCGTGGAAGAAGTACAAAATACCATACTGGTTGTGTACATATGTATAGGCTTGTCTTTAGATATCGATTGCCAATTCGAATGGCAGACAGGTCTTAATAGAGGAGAAATGTCTTGTTTTGTATTTTAGTATACAGCTGTATAGCAAAGAAAGGCGCGATAAATAAGGATGGGGCTGTATAACTACGAACAAATTTATGTAGTAATTCAATTTAGTTATTAGCTTACCAAAAAAAAGAAGGGGAAAAAAAGAAGTAAATTTTAGAATAAATATTCTTTAATGTTCCTACTCTCATTGTAAAGTTAAGTATTGATGCTGGATGTGGCAACATAAGTTAAAATTGGATATATTTCATAGTGATAAATTCGAAATAGTATACAAGAATTCCGATACTAGTATACTCCATTTCAATGGAAAGAATGGAACCAATGGAAACAGAATTTATAACTATGCTTACATGTCAGTTTTACTATTTTTTTTTTTTTTTGGGAGGTTAAAATTGCATTTTACTTTTGTACATATATATGATATATGTATATATATCATGTACGAAAACATTCCGATACTGGTAGACTCCACTTCAATGGAAAAAATGGAATGTCCACAGAAACAGAACTCATAGCTACGTTTACACGTCAATTCACTAATACTTTTTGTTAAAATTTCATTTCTTGTGTACATATATACACACAGATAGATATATGATATATGATCGATTCATTTGAGAACAAAAGAGAGAGAGAGAGAGAAAAAGAAAAAGAAAAAGAAGAGAGTAATCCAGAGTTTGAAATAGATAACCATCTTTAAATACCTTTTAAGTAACTCCAATTTCTTAAATATAAAGATACAAGTTATACTATGAAAATGAAACTTAGCCCTGGATCTTCCGGATAAGACCGTACATAAATTATAATACTGCCAATTAAGGATAAGCATTCCTTCCATTATATCAAAAGTACTGATGGTCTAAACAAGCGGAATATAATTTTACAGGAATGAACTATAAATGCAGTTCCCATGATTTTCTTCTTTTTTTCTCAGTTAAAGTTGCTCCCATTATTATTTGAAACTATTAAACCAATTATAAAACATAGCTTAAGTTGCTTACATAATGCTTGAAAAAGAAGTAAAGAACGCAATTATTCAATCAGAGGACTTTTCACACAGAAAACCTCATAACATGGTACTCATGCAGTAATAGCCATAGGCCACCTCTAAAAATTCCACATCCATGAAAGTAAACTGCTATAGTACGATTGAGTATCAGCAAATTATTCTGATTAAAAAGACACGAGTAAGGACTGGTTCTAAACCTACCACAGATTGCTATTAATTACCCCTGCATATCATTCACCAGTGGTCTCTAAATTCTTAAATTCTTTTCTCGTCTATAACTCCTTACAAATCCTTTACACAATTAATAACCATTCATAACCCACTTGGCCACACACTTTTTTTACATTGCTACTTAATTTTCAATTATCCTACCATGGCTACCATGCCTTGTGGGCACTTCAAAATGCATAATGTAACCATGTTATACACAAAGACGCATGTACGCTTATGAAATATGAGTAATCTATATGATGGATACATTACCCACAAAAAAGCTCGTCCTTTGTTGGACGGGAGACACCTTGATTTAGCATGGGTATTTATCATTTTTGGGAGAAGTATACACAATTGACATGCCATACTTACACAAATTTTTCCCCAGGATAAAGAAAATATATTTCAAACAATTCAATACCAATCTGTCCCATGCATTCCAAAATTTAAAAATTATAGAACTTTGACACCCATGTGTGATTCCAGATCCAGCACTTACAACCACATCAGTAGCATATGGGTTTCTACATCGTAAGTAAATCTAGACTCATATATATATTCCATTGTCACCTGAAAGGTATTATACAATTACACAACAAACTAAAACCATCCTTCCACTATACATTACTCTGATTTCTTCCAAACTATTTTCCATAAAATAGTAAACTGAAACTCATATTTTCCATTTAAATTTATCACAGTACCTCTCATATAATGCACATTACATTACATAATGATTCTTTCTTCCTATGCGTACACATATATATTTAAAAAATCCATTGATTGTCTGAGCAAAAAATAAAATCTCCCAGTCAATGTATAACACTAAAGAGAAACAATTCTAAAGTGTTCTAAAGTGTTCATTTGACAGTCTATATACATATTTCATTAATGGGGTGATAGTCTAAATATTTGTTATTTATATATTTCTGATATTTTTCATGGCATTTTTCCTTAGCAACTACCTTCTAGAAATCCACAACAGCATCCAAAGATCTGATCTACATTGCTATTGAAAAAAATTAAGATAACCAAATTTTCTAACTAAATCATTAAAAAAAAAAAAAAAAACAAAATTCAGACCCCAAACCAACAGATTTTTTTCAACAAATAGAGGCAAATAATGGATCACTGTAAATGGCAAATAAATAAATAATAATAATAATACATGAGGCGAAAAATAAATCTCAAAGCAGGGCCACAGCAATTGTTTAATTGGCAAACCGAAAACACACACTCATCACATAATTTTTTATTTAAAAAAAAAAAAAATGCAATCAACTAAACCCATTAAAATATGTAGATGTTCTGTTGGCATATTAATCATACGTTTAAAAAAATAATAATAAGGTAAACAATAATACAAACAGACACATACGTATATGATGAGAATAATAGTTGTAAAAAATAAAAAATAAAAAATAAAAAATAAAAAATAAAAAGAAACATACGGTGAACAAGAGGGTAGCGACGACGGCCTGAACGGCCTGTTGGAGAAGAACACCTTTGACCACCGTCCTCTTCGACACCAAATTCTTATCATCCTCGTCCTTCCTCGAATGCAACCGATAATTATCCAACGACAAACCCAAGAGAATATATATTCCCGAATACACCCAATACACCAAAATCGGCGCAAAAGTGCCCAACAACTCATCCGATACCGCAAAACCCATCTCTCAAATTCGTTCCAGAACGAGTAAATTTACCCAATGCAGTGCTCAAATCCTCTTATGATTTAAATCCAAACAAACCCTAACCCTAGAATTCGATCGATATTGTCTTTGATTTCAAACGGAAAAATATATTAGCATTAAAGGACCGACACAACACGATGACCAATTTTCAGAACTAAAGTCGTTTGGCCTCGTTTGGAACGATCCTGGGAGTGGGTCGTTGGAACCGAAGTGAGAGAGACAGAGAGATATATAGAGAGACAAAATTCGAAGCTGTCTATTTTGATCACAGTACTGGTGATTATTATTATTATTATTTTTTTTTCTAGTGCATTCGATCTATACTCTATTCTCTCCAACCGCCTTTGTAGACGCACGATGTTTAAATTTTTGATGACGTGTCGGTTGACAAATACTTACCATCAGAGATTTTGATGCTAGGGCATTAGTCACTAATAAATGTTTTTTTTTTTTTTTTTTTCAAATATATTTGGAGTACATATGCATAAATGAGTGAATACGTAATAGTATTTAATTAGAAATTTATTAATGATGGTGTCTTAAATCATAGGCCATTTTTAGATTTTTATTATTTATAATATTTATTAAATTTTTATGGGTTCAATTTTTTAATTAATTAGAGAGTAATTATTGGAGTAGACGATAAATTTCCTTTTAACAACGCGTTTATTTATAAGCATATAGTAAATGATTAGGATTAGTTTTAGAGAGAAATTGAGAAGAGAATATGGGCGGTTTTAATTAAAGAGAAAAATTAGGCAAATAAAATGGATTTGTGTTAAAAAGAGAAAAAATAGAGAAGTTGTTTGTTGCTGTGTTTGTGTGGCCTGCATTATGTCCTTGTATAAACGTTTCTTTTGTTAATAAAGTCAACTTATGGTTGTGAGTTAAGCGTTTGGGAGAGAAATATTTGGAAAGGAGCAAGAGGGGGATAGATGGGAGAAAACTTTGACGGGACGAAGCCAATGAAAGCTTAGGGGATACGTGCTCTCATGAGTTAACTCGCACTCTAAATATATGTGGTAATATTTTAAATTCATTTCATAAACACTCACCATCCGAGACGGAACGAATGAAAGTCTAAGGGGCACGTGCTCTCCTGAGTTGGCTCGCACTTTAAATATATGTGGTAATATTTTTAATTTTTTTCATATATATGAAAAAAATTATACATTGCCCCCTATATGTTATATTTCCTAAAATTATCTCTTTATTTTTTCTTTTACTCATCAAATTCCTTAAATTTCCTTAAGGATTCGTTTGGTTAGGTAGAACTAGCAAGAAAAGAAAATAATCGAAAAATATTTAAATTTTTTGTGCGTTTGTTTAGGATGAAACGCAAGTAGCTAATTTTCTTATTAATTTTCTCGCAAGTAGGATGTCAATTGTTAAGTTTTATTTTAAATTCCTATTATACCCATAATTATCAGTTGGATAACTTGGGTTTCCTTTATCTTTTTGTCCTTTTTTTATAGACATTTTTTTTCCAAACGTAAATGAAATCGTGAAATTGGAGAGATCTTATTTTTAACAATTTTTTTTTAATCTATTTTTATTGCTTTATTCTTTTTTTCCCTTTTTTTTCTTATGTTTTTTTTTCCCTTCCAATTACGTATATACATATAACATATTATGGTGGATATTTTTTAAGTACATTATATTAATTTTCAATATGTGTATATATATATCAACTAGGTTTTAGAATTTTGATACTATAGTTATTATAAATTTTACGTAATATATACGTTCCTTAAAAGAATAATACAAAATATTTTATAGTTATATAATTCTAGTTGAATTAATATGTAAAATTCTATTGGTTTTGATTATTCTAATATAAACAAACATCTAATGGAACAATCCTAATCTTATTCGACTTTATCAAAATTCTTACAATTACTATATAAATTATAAGGTCCAAATCATATATATATATATATATATTAAAATATTTTTGAGTAAAGAAATTCCGGTCACTTGACGTCTGTTGATGCATGAATTAATTTTACTTAAATTTATTTATATTTTCAGTATTTAAAATTATAAGAGCAATTTTGACAAGTACAATCATTTTCTTTTCTCTTTCATTCTATCCAAACTAACAACATAATATTTTCTCACAACTTTTTTGAAAAAATTTCATACTAACCAAATGCACCATAGATACTTAATTTTCTTTTTCTTCACTTCACTTTCTTTCACTTTCACTTTCCACCATCTATTTCCATCTAACCAAACAGACCCTAATAGAAAAAGTAAAATTTCCTCAATTGAAATTTTTCAATTTTTTCTTTTTAAAGTTCTCTCATTTTTCTTTCATTTTTCTTTTTCTACTTCTATTCTTAAAATTCTTCTTTTTTAAGGTGCATATTTGAATAATTTTCTTCTTGTATTGTTGAATCATTGATCAAATACAAGTTGCTGTCTCAATTAAAAAAGAGACCCCAAATTTTTCTTAATGTATTAATTACCATATAGTTCTCTCATTTTTCTTTCATTTTTCTTTTTCTACTTCTATTCTTAAAATTCTTCTTTTTTAAGGTGCATATTTGAATAATTTTCTTCTTGTATTGTTGAATCATTGATCAAATACAAGTTGCTGTCTCAATTAAAAAAGAGACCCCAAATTTTTCTTAATGTATTAATTACCATATAAATATAACTCCCAAGTTTTATTTCTATCATTAGGCCTTCTTATAATTTTAAAATTCTCGTGTATCATTAGTTATTCAACATTATATTTCTTTGAACTCTCACACATCAATTGCTTACAGAATAAAATTACTATCTCTATTACATGTCAATAATTATTCAACATTATATTTATTTTAAACTCACACACATCAATTACCTACAAAATAAAACACTATCTCTATTACTTGCCAATAACTGTCATTATATTTCTTTTAAACTCTCACGCATTAATTGCTTATAAAATTAAATCACCATTTTTAAAGGTAAAAATGTAAATAATAATTTATGTTTCCTTGAATAAAAAAAATTAATATATTAAATATAAGAAGGCCCAATTTAGAAATTTTGCTCTCCAACAGTATCAAGCCTCACCTTTCGCACTTACACTCTACATGTGATTGAATAAGAGTTTCATCACTCCATTTCTGTCACAAGAAGTGCAGAAATAGTGCCATATCATTTGAGTACCTACAGTTATCGAATATACACGTACAATTATAAAAACTGAAAACATAATATGAATATTTGATTAAATCTTTCTAAGATATTCAAATACAATGTTAATGAGAGAGGTTATCTTTGGAAGTTAATAATGTAATGTATAGACAGTAACTTGCATTCTGTACAATGCTGCTCAACGTAGGGCTTAAATCCACGCAATACATAGAAATTGATAAAAACAAACCATTAGAACAAATTAATCAACCCTCAAAAAGTTTGTGTTCTTTCAAAGTATAGAAAAACTGGTGTACTTCCATCATCTCTTCTCCTTGTGAGCACTTGCACCAAAAAACGAACAAAAACTCGATGGCAGGAGAGGAACAATGACCCTCACAAAGCACCCACTTCTTGGGTTTCTGGAGCCTCCTTCGCAAAGTTCAGTCGAGCTTGCTTAGCGTGCTTGCTAGGAACTGGAGAAAGCAAATGAAAAATAAGAATCAGTTATAGTGTCATTGTGGCAATGGTAATGTGCAGGTAATAAAGAAGGAAAGAGCTTCACCATCTTTTGCTTTGCTTTTGTTATTAGATGAAAGTACAGTGGATTTCCAATCCTCGTAAGCAACTTTCTCCACTCGTTTACGCTTCTTGTAACACGAGAGCTGCAAATGGAATCACATCAGTCAACCTCAAGTAGGAGTGAATCTGACAGATAAAATCATAAATAAGATTTTCAACTTGGGTCATCTTCTCCGGCTCAGCTAAAAGAAGTCTGAATATTATATCAAAAGTTTGATGGTAATTAAGCAACGGAAATGCATTATATACAAAGTTACTAAGTAACTGGTATGAATTGAACTTTTTTTTACTGATAACAAGTAGGGAGTACAACTCCCAATGATCTTATTACAACTGCAACAGTAATAAATTTGAAATAAATAAATAAATGGGCAGAGGCCAGGAAACAACCTTATAGATGAAATAAAAGATATACAAACTTGTTCATTGTGAGTTGTTTGTTTTCGCCAAACACATACTTCATCTTGTGCTAAATATTGCAACTTAATCAAAAATCATTTCATACATAGCCACTTTGGCCACATATTTTGTCATGTGTCCTATTTCAATCATTTGTTTTGCAGGTGCGCAATCTGAACTGAACAGATCAAATTGTGTCAGATCAAACAAGATTATATAGTTACCATTTATCAACGCTTCATAAAACTTGACGTGTAAGCGACTACTTATAATTTTGAAGCCACTTTCTCAGCTAATTCGGATAAGGTACAAGTTGTCAATAAGGAAATAGGTGTAGCTTTAAACCAGTTTTTTAACCGGGTACATATTATTACTAACACCAAAAAGAACACGCGTTAGAAAATAAATGGCCAAAAGAAAAGAAAAAAACAAATGTAAAAAGTGCTTTAGCAAATAAATACTAGCAATAAGAATCAAGATTAAAGATGCTGTGCTTGTGAAGTACCTCTTTTGCATCATCAGACAAATAACCACCATCCTCAAATGTTCTTTTCTCAGGCAATGCATCTAGCAATTCTGTGTACAGATGCCAAATTTAGAAGGAATTGATGAAAATGAGGTCTAAGTTCCCAAAAACACTATAAAGGGGTAATAATCCTTACTAAATCATATGAATGAGCACTGGAATATGCACATGAAGGTTGTAAGCTTAAAGAAAACCAAAGCAAGTCATACCTCGGTTCCCTTTCACATCTCTTGGATCTTTCTTTTCCTTTGATATCCCAAAAACATCATGACACAGGTCCTTCATGGATGTAGAGACCTGCAGATCAAATTTGACAATAAAACATGATAAGATCGTAAGAGACTAAGAGAGGCAAGAAAAATATAGTGCAGAAAAATAGATGACAAAAATAAAACATAGGGTGCTTCTTACACTGGAAAATTCAGATTCTGACGTGCCACAGAGTTCGATTAACTTAATTTTGTCTACCTTGAGCTGTGTATTAAGAAACAAATAAGCAAAAAATACTGAAAGGTCTTTCAACTGTTCTTTCCTCCACACACTAAACCAGAGAAGCAGATAGAAGTATTAGCTAACCTTGTGTCTTTTTGCACACAAGTAGAAAGCCACGGCAGTAAATACAGGTCGAGTGAAGTCAGCACTTGACCGACGAGAAGCAGGCAATGACATGAGAAACCGGTCCTTGTAGCTGAAAAACATCACACAACCACTCACCAAACAACATAACACAAAAGAAATTAACCATACAATAAAACTGGCAATTCATACGTTAATTGTATACATTATGTAATTTGTAATATGTACACCACAGTGACCACACTACCACAAGCTTACGGCCCAGGACCAACAGGTTTGACTGTCCAATGCAGGCCCTAAGCCTTGAAGCCCAATAATCATTGGTTATAATAGCAAGCAATTTTTTTTATCTGTCCCTGGAACAATGAATTACCTCTGCTAATAATCATTTTGATGCCGCAGAAGCATCTCTATCACTTGGCTCATATTGGTCTTGCATCTTTGTCTTATTCTTCTATACAATGCAGAGAAACTCCAACCAAAATTTCCATCTTACCTATGTCATAGTTACCATTCATCATAGGGTCAATGATTTCTTCAATCACGATGTCATCAAATCCCCTCTAGTCGTTTTCTCCCTCACCCACTTAACCAACCTTCTCTGTTCCATCTCCCCTTCGTTCCTTTGGCGCTGACGCCTGTTGTAGCACTCTTTCCAGTAACCATCTCCAACACAGAGATCCTAAAGCTGTAATTAGGGAGATTGAAGACCCACTCAGGTGCCATGTAACCTCTAGTTCCTCTTATCCTCAAGAAGCTCGGATTATTCTCACCACTTTTGTTCAATATTTTTGACAGGTCAAAATCTGAGACTTTTTGGGTCAAAATCCGAGACTTTTTGGCTGGTAATCAGAGTCCAAGAGTATGTTCTGAGGGTTTACATCAGTGTAAAACCCATTCCAAGCACTCTTCGTGTAAATAAGCAAGGCCTTTTTGCTGTACCCACTGCAATATTGAACCTCTTCTCCCAGTCAAGTGTGTTTGAATGTAAATTTTCTGCTAAGGTACCATATCCCCAAATTTCTATCAAATTCATGCTAATTATGCATCTAACATTGGACTACCTTCTCCTGGAGACTTTAAGGAGCTGCAAAGCATTGGACGGTCAAACCTGTTTGTTTGTCTAAAATGATATATGTTAATTATTATGTTGCTTGGTAGATATGACAATTAACCATACAACAAATCCACGTCGGTTCAGATAAAAAAACTGGTGTAGGCATTTTGTCAAACAAGTAACAGATGTCCCAGAACAAACAAATGAACATATGAATTGAATGATATTGAAATGCCCAAGCATAAAAGCAAATGCCTTACAGAGACAAGCCTTTTCGGACAAAGGGTATGAGCCTAACGCATCCAAACTGAATACCCAATTCTCTTATATCAAGCTGATTCCTACAAAACACCACCAAGCCTCATTTTACACAAATAATACAAACGTACATCTATATATCTATATAAATGTATGTATGTGTATGTAACAGTAGTGATTGAGAAGACAATGAAGCACTGACTTGACACCAAGGCCATTCTGCAATGAATTGAAGGATCTAATGTAAGCCTTCTCAGACATCCCGCTCAACCTTATCGCGCTTTGACGATCAAATATAACTTGAAACCTACATTTATTATAAATCATCAATACAAATCATATATATATATATATATATATATATATATATATATATATAAGTATACAAGGAATGTGAATTACAATACCTTGTAGCAGCAATCTCTAAACATATTATCGCCTTACATATCTCTCCCTAAAAATTATACAAAAAAAAAAAAAAAAATCATTGGTATAAGCACATAACACCAAAAGATCGATTAATTAAAATTTGGATATTGTGAAGACTTACGACTCCGATAACGGAGGAGTCGAATTGGACGTCACACAGGCGACGGAACTCGGCGGCTTTGCGGACCAGGTGTTTGGATTCAGAAAGCCCTAGTTTATTTGCTATGTCTGAGAGATCCATTTGGATGAAGAGAGAGAGAAAGAGATTTGGCGTTGCATTTTAATGAAGGCGGATTAATGGCGGGAACATGAATTTCTTGTGATTTTTTTTCCTTTTTTTGGTTGTTTCAGACTTTATTCGCGCGCCAGAAATGACGAAAGTTTTGCCGGGAAATTTTTGGCGGCAAGGGAGTAGTTAAAAATTGGGAGTGCAGTACGTGCAGGCTAATTTTGGTTAATGAGACCGATCTCATTAAATAGGGAAAATTACATATACATGGAGTCAAAGTTTCATATTTACTTAGAGACTGAGTCAAAATTCCATATTTCTCTAAAATGGATTGCTGAGGTGGCACATGGTTTTTTACTATTTAGAAAATTGTGATGCCTAAAATGCCCTTCTCTAACAAAAAAGTAGTACCTTCAGTGTAAAAAAGTAGTACCTTCGGAGAAAAAGTAGTACCTTCGCGGGTGTTTAAAAAACATGGTACCTGGACGCCAAAAAGTAGTACCTTCAGTTCAAAAAAGTAGTACCTTCGAAGAAAAAGTAGTACCTTCGTGGAAGGGTATTTTAGGCACCACAATTTCTAAACAGTAAAAAACCATGTGCCACCTCAGCAATCCATTTTAGAGAAATATGGAACTTTGACTCAGCCTCTAAGTAAATATGAAACTTTGACTCCATTTATATGTAATTTTCCCCATTAAATAAGTAAAATTACAAATATTTCTGATTATTAAAAAAATTTAATGTTTGGAATGTCAGGATTTATAATTTCAATGCTCCTCGTACCCAACATTTAAGTGAATAAAATAATTTTTAATTAATTATTTATACTAAATATAACTAAGTTACATAATTGACCAAACTAAAAAACAAGTAACTTTAAGAAGTCACTGTAACTATTCACTGTAATAATCATTTTACTTTCAATAAAATGATTAAAAAAAAAACATTTCCTTTATAATTTAATTCTAATTTATTCCAAATTAAATTTCATTTCAAATCTAATTTAATTTCCTTCCCCTTTTCAAATCCAAATTCCATAAGATTTTGGTTTCAAACAAATTCCAAATATCATTTTTAATGATACCAAAAATGGCATGGGCCGGGCACAACCCAGGTTACTAGAAACAGGTCTAGAAAGAACACTAGGTTCAACCAAATCATCACTGATCAGGCCCAGGATCGTAAGATCAACCTGAAAGCCCAGTCTCAAAGTGAAGGAAATGGGCCCATATCCAAGATGAGCCAAAAGGATCAGCTCAGCGCGGAGAGTTAGTTAAGAAACTTCTAGAATGACTGTAAAGGTCTATAAATAGGCTGAGAAAAGGAGGGAAAAAGGGTTGAGATATGTTTGAAGTATAAAACTATTCTGTCCAAATTAAGAGATAATATTTCTTGCATCTTCAATGGCGCAGTCTGTGGGAAACGAAGGAAGGATTCAGTTGATCATCGGGTTCTCTGCAAGCAAATTGATCATTTTTTCAGAAGATCGACATTGATTTGCGAGGCAGAAGCTTGATTTATGGAAATTGGATCTTGATCTGGAAGATTGAGATCTGTTTTGAGGAAATTTGATCTTGATTGACGAAAACCAGATCCGACGAGTTTACGGCAACAAAGATTTAGATCTAGCTGACGGAGATCGGAATTCGGCCATTCCAAGGCCAAATCTGGTGCGTTCACGTCGTTAGGGTTTGGATCTGATCAAGAGTTCTCGGTTGATGACTCTACTCTGGTCAAGAACGATGATAAGAGATGAGAGTTCTTATCCGCAGAAGAATGAGCAACGCTCAAAGCTCGATGAATTGATGAGTATGACTGAAGCTTTAAAAAGAGAGAATGCGGAATTGAGAGCCGGAATAGAGTGTCGAGAAGTTCCGATAATTCCACGATCGCCTCCAGAAGGAGACATAGTTCCGTAACCAAATGTTGCTCGCCAGGCTGAATAAGAAGGAGGCGTTCACCTAAATCTCCGTCGCAAAAAGATCAGGCCAGAAGATTTACCGCCAAATGTTCATCATGTGGAAGATCAAGAAGGATTTGTTCATTTAGATCCACATCGCAAACGGATCAGGCAAAAAGACGCCATGGAGATTGATCAATACCGCGAAAGGATCAGGCGAGAAAAAGCCATGGTGTATGATCCATATCAAGAAAGGCTTATACAAGAAGAAGTCGTGGAGTTCGGTCGCAACAAGGCCACGCCGTCATGGCAGAAGGAGTTGACAGAGGAAAGGTCGTTCGATCCGCCCTACCGACCGTCAGTGGCCACGTTTAATTATAGAGGTTCGGAGAGGAGGTCGGTTGATCAGAGGATATTCCCAAGGTTTCCGAGGGAAAATGAAGCTCTCCGTTCGGCAGCGCGAACTGTCGACTCACCGTTTACAAACGAGATCCTAAATGCTCCGAATATGAGAAAATTTTCCATGCCAATTTTCACTCTGTTCGATGGAATGAGTGATTTGATCGAGCACGTTTATCACATTCAATTGAAAATGGCTCTAAATACAGAGGATGATCCATTAATGTGTAAAGTTTTCCCTACAAGCTTGACTAGACCGGCGCTCAACTAGTTCAAGAACTTGGCAAGAGGTTCGTTGGACAGCTTCCAGAGCCTATGCGACAAGTTCATAAACCAGTATTATGGAAACAAACGTCCAGCCAAGGATATTTCAAGCCTGTTCACAATGAAACAGCTAGAACACAAACGTCTCCAAACTTTTCTCACCAGATTTAACTTAGAAAAGAGCATAGTAATAGAGTGCCATCCTTCCACAACAGTTCAAACGTTCATACTAGCGATGAACCGAGGGACACCATTCCACACGAATCTAGTGGTGAGTACGCCGAAGACCATGGATGAGCTGAAACAGAGAATTGATGGTTTTGTTTGTTTGGAGGAAGAGAAGGCTGCCAACGCAAGGAAGACGTCCATAGTCACGACGGAGGAGAAGAGCAGAACGAAGATCAGGCAACGACAAACAGCACCACAATGTCCGGCCTCCTGGAAAGCAAAAAAAGAGGCCTAGAGAGGACGAGTCAGTTACTCTACTCAAAGTCACCCTGGCAAGGTTATATTAGGAAAATAAAGATAAGTTTCGTCCTCCCCTACCAATTAGACAGCCACTTGAGCAAAGAGATCAATCTAAAAATTGTGTTTTTTATAGTGATTTTGGCCATCAGACTAATGAATGCAGGAACTTAAGGAAGCAGGTGGAAATGCTGATAGCAAAGGGAGAGTTCGTTGGATACATCCAAGGACCAGCAGTGGAGTAGAACCGACCGGCAGAGCAGGTGAAAAGAAATCAGAAGCCGAACTATTATAATGCTCAGCCCATTCGAATAATAAACGCAATTCATGGCCGACCTGAACCGACCGAAGAGTCAAAAGAACTGTTCCGCACGCGTCTTCGTCAAGCACATATGAAGAGGAGGATGGGCAGTGTAAATGCTCTACATCAGCATAACGCTTTAGTTCAGATAATTTTCAATAGAACGGATCTGTTGCGAGTTCAAATCCTTCATGAGGATCCCTTGGTCGTTAGCTTGACAGTGGCAGAATGCTTGGTTCGAAGAGTTTTAATTGATCCAGGGAGTAGTGCGAACGTCATGCCAAAGGTAACATTTGACCAGCTTGAGATTGAGCCAGAGAAGTTTAAACCTACCAAAAATCCACTATTGGGATTCGATGGAAAGCGGGTGGAACCTATTGGAATGGTTGAATTGCCAGTGCGAACTACTGAAAGAGATCTGATTGAAAGCTTTGTAGTCGTCGAGATCCACCCATCCTATAATATTTTAATGGGAAGAGGGTGGATTCATAGGGTCCAAGGTGTCCCATCGACTTTGCATCAGGTGATGAGGTGTTTAAGCCCAGATGGGAGCAAGGTGATTGATATCCATGGGGACCAGGTTGCAACCAAGGAGTGTTAATCTGTAACTCTGAAAACTGCTGGGAAGGGGAAAACTCCCACCCGATCTGATAACCCGAGATAGCAATTACAGGAGCCTCCACCCAAAGAGATTGGGGAGGAGGACGAGCCTTTGATTTTTACTAAAGAACCCCTCATTGATGTGCAGATTGACCCTCTGAGGCCAGACAGAACCACAATAGTGGGGTTAGGGCTTTCAGAAGATGAGAAACAACAGTTGGTTGATTTCCTGTATCAGAACACAGATATGTTTGCCTAGAGTCATTCAGATATGCTTGGAATTGACCCCTCTGTATCTTGTCATTCCCTCAATATGGATTCAAACTTCAAGCCAGTAAGACAGAAGCAGAGGAGGTTCTCCCCAGAGCGTAATCAGATCATAGCTGATGAAATTGACAGGCTGCTGGAGGCAGGATTCATCAAAGAGGTTCAGTACCTATCTTGGCTCTCAAATGTGGTTGTGGTTCAGAAGACGAATGGAAAATGGAGAGTATGTATAGATTTTACGAACCTGAACAAAGCTTGTCCAAATGATAGTTTTCCATTACTAAAGATTGATCAGACGGTAGATGCTACTATTGGATATGAACGACTTACTTTCCTGGTCACTTACTCAGGCTACAATCAAATCCATATGGATCCGAATGATGAGGAAAAAACTTCTTTTGTGACCGAGCGAGGGATCTATTGCTATAAGGTTATGCCGTTCGGACTAAAAAATGCTGGAGCCACCTGCCAAAGGCTAGTTAGCAGGATTTTTAAAAGCCAAATGGGTAAAACTATAGAAACCTACATTGATGACATGGTGGTAAAAAGTAAAAAGAAGGACCATCATTTGCAACATTTGCAGGATGTATTCAGGGTATTGAGAAAGTACTGTATGAAACTTAACTCGACTAAGTGCTCGTTCGGTGTGGGTTCTGGGCAGTTCCTAGGGTATATGGTCAATAGCAGAGGAATTGAAGTCAGCCCAGCCCAAGCAGAAGCTTTGAAAAAAAATGCAGAGTCGAGAACAATTAAGGAGGTGCAAGCTTTCACCGGGCGAATAGTAGCATTAAGTCGATTCATTTCAAAGCTGTCAAATTGCTGCAAATCGTTCTTCGATACAATAAGAGGCCACGGAAGACAAGCCTGGGGGGATGAACAATGAGAGGTGCTAACCAGGTTAAAAGAGTATATGCAGAACCCTCCGGTCTTATTTGCCCCAAAACTAAGTGAAAAGTTTTCACGTATCTAGGTATGTCAAGCATTGCAACAAGCACCGTTCTGGTGCGGTGTGAGGAAGGCAAGCAATTCCCAGTGTTCTATGTTAGCAAAACAATGGCTGAACCAGAAAGAAAGTACTCAAAGGCCGAACGAGTGATCCTATCATTGGTTAATGTGAAGAGGAAACTCAGGCACTATTTTGAATCACATCCTATCGTTGTTCTTACCAGCTTTCCTATAGGGGTGATCCTGAATAAACCAGATCTGTCAGAAAGAATGACAAAATGGGCCATAGAGTTAAGCTCATTTGATATAATGTACGAACCCGGAACGGCCATAAAAGGACAAGCAGTGGCTGATTTCCTGCGAATGTGATGTGGAAGACATAGAAGAATACCTTACAAGCTCTTCATGGAAGCTTTTCGTTGATGGTTCTCCAAATCAAATGGAGGCAGGAGTTGGGATCAAGCTACAAACACCAGAAGGCACCACGTTGAGTCAAGCAATTAGACTCGAGTTCGGAGCAACCAATAATGAAGCATTGCTGGCAGGATTGAAGCTGGCCAAAGAACTGAAGGTCAAAAGTCTAATGGCTTTTAGTGATTCACAGCTAATCATTAGGTAAGTGACGAGGGAATATAGAACCAGAGATGAGACAATAGAGGCATACCGTTCAGCCGTTATGCGTGAAGCAAAGAACTTTAATCAAATCAAGTTCATCCAATTGTCAAGAGAACAAAACGAAGACGCCGATCGGTTAACTTGCAGTACGTCAAGTTCTGGAGAAACTTTGGCAAGGGTGATTCCAGTTGATGTGTTATATCAACTATCTATCTTTGAGGAACCAGTCGGCTCGGATCCTCGGCAAGTGAATGTCATACCATATAAGCCAAGCTGGATTTATTCAATCATGGCTTTCATACGAGATGGTATGCTGCCTGAACGAAGAGATGAGGTAAGAAAAATCATATCAAATGCTACAAAGTATGCCATTATCTATGATCAATTGTATAGAAGGTCTTTCTCGGGTCCGTACTTGAAATATGTTACCCCCACAGAGGCTGGGCAGATCTTGCAAACTATTCATGAAGGTGTGTATGGCAATCACTCGGGAGGGAGATCTCTAGCACATAAAGTAATGACGCAAGGATATTTTTGGCCAAACATGTCGTGAGATGCAAAATAATTTTCTAGAAGATGATATAAGTGCCAAAGGTTCGGACTGATCCACCAACCACCTGAAGACTTGCACGTAATGGCCAAACCATGGCCTTTTCGCGCAATGGGGAATGGATGTTGTGATACCTCTCAGATTCGAGACACGGGTTGATCAGGCCCAGGCCTGAACCCGAGGGAATATCTAATAATTAATATGTTATAACGAACACAAAATACAAAATTGAATAAGAATAAATATTATAAGCTGAAAAGAATACTAATATAAAATCCTCAACTGATAACACTTAACAAAATCCAATTTCTAAACCTCCATGATTACAACTCGGGAATCCATCTCTAGTGGACCCTTATTTAAAAATCCCAAACTAGATGAAAATAAAACTGAAGATAAAAATCTAAACCCAATATCTGAAAAGAAGTCCTACATCGTCGGTAAAATGGAAAATCGTCTCTGCTCAGCACGAACAAGCTCAAGCCTGGAACGGACCTACACCTGAAAAATAGGAGTGGGTCAGGCCCACGAACAAGTTCTATCCTACTCCAATCCAAGCAGAGACTCGATACGCATGTACATTCTAACCAACTCAACAATAGCTAATAGTCCGTATGTATATATATATAATCACACTAAATGACTCTCACTGGACTACAAGCCGGTCTCAACTTGAATAGAGGCAACATGCAAAACGCACACAAAGTGGGCATGCGTACCTAAGCCTAATAGGGTACACCTCCAACCATCATAGCCAGCTATGTATCCCAATGCATATACGCTCCCTAACCGTCGATCCTGAGACTCAAGCTCATATCGAGGTACCATAAAAATATATTTACAATCCATCCAGAATCCATAGCAGTGCCGCTCAACTATGCGTTGCCTTGACACTACAAATCAATAGGATTTAACTTCTAATTAATCCATTCCTTAATTCCAGAGTAGGTAGGACTTAGCGTTTTTTGAGCTAATCCCCCTAGTATGTCACCGTCCCATACCGGTGCATACAATCCATCCATCCAGCAGTTGATAATACATACCATGCATGTAAATATCAACTAAATCCATACATCCAACAATTGAGAATAAAAACATTAAATTTAAACATCAATTGTTCCATAATAAGCATACCTAAAGTTATGTATTTTAATATGCTGATTTAAACAACACAACCAAAAATCCAATAATTAACCATACAACAGTATATGTAAATATCAATTTATTCCCAAGATCCGTATAATTGAGAGGACATAAATAAATGTCTGCACACAATTATAAATACATCCATTGATTTCATATAGCCATGATATAAAACATGGGTACAATTTTTGCATATTATTTAGCAATAATAATCTAAATAGCATGCATATAATTTATTTTATACAAATTATCAGGCATCTCCAATTGACTATATAACATCCCCAACATAATTAAACTATTTCAATTCAGTTGATTGATTTAAAACAGTTTGAATCCATCAATTAACCATTACGTTAATTTTATTCCAAACCTAGCATATCATTTATATTATGCATTCCAGTTAATTATTGAGTCCCAGAAGTTCACTAAAAATTAACCATTATGTTAATTTTATCCTAAACCTAGCATATTATTTCATATTATGCATTCCAGTTAAATATCAGGTCCCAGAAATTCACTAAAAATTATTTAACCAGTCCCAACCATCCCTAAATACCAACTCCTATGCCAAAATCCAACACTAGACAACCCATATGAGAGTTACAGGAACCAGTTGATGTAAAATCCCAAGTGTTGACTGGTACGCCTAAACCGGTTGATGTAAAATCCTAGGTGTTGACTGGTTCGCCTAAACCGGTTGATGTAAAATCCTAGGTGTTGACCGGTTCGCCTAAACCGGTTGATGTATACATCCTAGATGTTAACTGGTTTGCAAAAGTCCACTAAATCTATAAGGTGTCAACTGTTTTATCATAGATGTTGACTGGTATAATAACCATTTGATGTTTTTAACAAGGTGTTAACTGGTTGCAACCAACCAGTCAACCGAAATACCAAGGTGTCGACCGGTTCATGCCAACCGGTCGACGTGTGCACTAAACCGGTCGACCAAACTGTGACAGTTCGTCTTCCACGGCTCCGGCGACTACGTCTTTTTCCGTTAAAGTACTAAGACTATTGTTTTAAGTCCAGAACAACCCTAAACATTATGTAAACCTCTTATGCATAATTTAAACAAATTATAATCAAGAATCATACAAGAAATTCGAAGTTAAACAGACGTATACATATATACATAATCTACTGTAATTCAAGTTTTAGCATGCTTACATAGTTAAATTCTAACCAGATTAATTTAACATTTATTTACTCCTGGAATTGTGATAGAGATGCAAAGAACACAAGTCAAAGGGAGAGAGTTAGGAACAGAACTTGCCTTACATCGACGTTCGTCTAAGTTTTCCGGCGAAACTCTCTCTGTTGGCTCACTGTTTTCCTTCCCAGCCGTCTCTAATTCCCTCAGCCCTTACTATATCGTAATAGTTTTTTTCCTAAAACCCTAGTCAGAATACTACCTGAACATTTATAGGCCACTAACCCTAGGTTCAATTAAACCCTAAACATAATCCACTCGGCCCATAGAAAACTAGGTTATAAACTATGTCGGCTATGAACTGTGTACTATATGTATGCAACTAACCCTACAGTCACGTTACGGCAAAACAAATAATGAGATTGAATAAAATAAAATAATTTAATAATTAACAATTAACTTAAACAATTAATTCAAATAAAACAAATAATCAAATAATTTCAAACAAATAGTCAAATAAGGAAATTAAAAACAATTTATGCAAATAAGTCAAATTTCAAGCAAACAATCAATTAAATAAATCAAA